TAATGCGGGGGTCCGGCTTTCAGGCGCTGCAGAGTGTATGCTACTCTGAGACCGGCCGCTTGCTAACCATATCTTGCAGTTGGATCTATGCGCCATCACAGGTCGCCGTTGATGCGAAGCTGGGAAAGACGACAACCCTGCCAATCCTGCCCTGCTACATGGCGACATTGTCTACCAGCACTTGAAGACCTTGCTGCTTTGATGCTGTCGGCAGAAAAACAAACAAAGTGTGCAACGGTTGTTCGAAAATGTGCAAATGGTAGTTTCCCAAAATAGGGGGACCCCAATATGGACCCCAAAATGCTATAATCCATATTAGGGGGACCCCCAAAAGGGTACCCCTAATTTTGGGAAACCCCCAAATACACTCTCCGTATCCAAGGTGCCGGACTGCCCAACTTGCAGCATCGAAGTCGATGCACACACAAACCAAGTAGACGGACCTGACTAAGGGCAGGCTTCGCCATCATACTTTAGGTGGACCCCCCACCCAGCAATAGTGACTATAGCGGATAATGGGGATCATATTAGGGTCCTCTTATATTCCTATTATACCACTATTACAGGTTGGGGGGTCCTCCTAAATCATACTACTAAAATGCAAAACCACGACCAAGTCATTGCCCATGGGTAAGAACCGGTGTCCCAAGGCATGCTTGCACATGGAGGTGCATGAGCTGCACCCAACAGAATTCCTATGTACCAGAAAATTCCGCAGAAGGCATGTCACAAGCAAAAATGCCTTCGCAGACAAAAGTGAGCCCTCCCAGGCGGGTGCCTTCTTTGGAAGTCTCTATAATGAGGTCTATCTTCGGGTCTGCTATATATGGAAGCCATCTAGGGACGTAGGTCACATGGGACTATCCCAACATGACCCAAAACGGTCCGCAAGGGCAGCCTCTACATCATCTCCTTGTAGTGCCCAGGCCCTGTGTATATCTAGGGTCCTCAGTTTTGAAAGACCCAAAGCCCTTAAAATCCTACATATCTTTAGGTCCTCTCTTTAGAGCCTCTTTAAAGGACCTCAGGGTCAGCGCCCGCAGAACCTGGCCCTGTGCCTTGCAACCAGAAGCTCGGCGCCGGGCGCGTGACCCTTCAAAGTGACGGGATAAGCACCTGCTCAAGCGGCGCATAAGGACTCTCCACAGGTGTGTATAAAGATCTATATTGCATAGGGATGCATAGGGTTGATGGGGGTTGTGGGTTACGTAGGCTTCTGATATGGAAGGTCAACCATGGCCTTACAAGCTTGACAGATTGGGTTTCCTGTGGGAGTGAAGAGGCCCAAGCAAATGTAACGTGGACTTTAACTGGCCCAGAATGAGCCCATTACTATTTTGCGGAAAACGGATAAGTTTTCGGAAGCTTTTTTTTCTTTCGCTCTTGGAAGGGCGCGGCAATCCTTGCAGAATTGGGTGCAGGTGGGTCTAGGATGGGTTGGCTGAAAAGGTGAGGGATGCTGCCAAAAAAAGAGATTATGAAGTGTAGGACTCGTTCGTCTCCGCCGCAAGCAATCCTTCATGTTTTGGGAAACCGTACCGCAGCGAGGTAGGCATGTTACGAAAATGCGTTGTCTGTGAGGCACCAAAACCTATTGCCCGGTTACAACTTGGGCTGTGCCTACTTAGCACCAAAAAACCTGCAGCAATCAATCGAAGCCAAGACACCGATTCGTGACTCCTTCAGCTCGAAAGGATAGCTCCTGAACCGCTGCGTCGGGCGGAAAACAAGACGACCCAACGCAAAAACGATGGGCAATGAGGCTGCCGTCTTTGTCTTGAAACCTCTCCCCAGACAACTTTCTCTACGAAATGAGGACTTATTCTTTTCATGTTCCTAAAGCGCCCATATGAAGACCCCTTTCAAACCGAACCCTAGTGTTCTTTATAGCTCAAAAGTCCACTGCACTTGCCTGGAGCAAAGAGCTTCATGACCAATCTGTCTATGCAGATCTTACTGACTTTTCCTAAACCCTGAACCCTAAACCTGTAGGCCTCTTAATAGCACGAACGAAGCAGCATCCTACTCGGAGTGGAACATATGGTGGAGGGATTGTGATGCGAACAGAGACAAAACAAGCCCAGCAGAAGTGAGAAAGTTGACTCTACAATGTCTGACGGCATGACAGACGCGAGTGTCACCACAGTTGAAGTGACCTTGGCCTCACCGTTATACAAGTACCGAAAACACACGTTCAACAAAACCAGCTGCCGCAAGGCAAAACTGCAGTAGAACAGACACGAATGTAGATCCCACAGTAAATCCCTTCTGAACCCTTCCGAAAAAGAGGCAGAATCACATTGGAGCACATTACATACCAGGGGCGCGGGCATTTAGTATATCAGACAGGAAGGATTACGAGAACAATGGGCTCCCCACCAGGAAGTTCGGGAGTCTTGCGACCTCACAGCAACCTTGCCAGGCGCGAGGCTTCCGAGTACTTGCATGGAGTTTGAGGATAATCATCCGGCTTAGGGTTTAGAGACTTAGCCAAATCATTCGAAACAGCTGCTTTATACGGATAACCCCGCTCTGAACAAGTCCTGATGATCCTGAACCGCCAAGCATGCTGGCAAGTGCAGTGCGCTGCTTCCCTTCCCCCACATATACGAACAGAGTGTCATGTGAGCGCGGCTGAATGAGAAAACATGACTGAAGCCCACAACTCCCGAGACATCTTCTTGTGAACGTGCAGCCCTGTCCATCCATGTTGGGCACTAACATGCCCTGAAGCACGTTCCACTTGTCGAGTTTGTTGCCATCACTGTACTGGGAGTACTTACTAGCAAAAGAGGGGTCGTGGTCGGGTGATGGCTTTATTGTTCGGGACGGAGATGACCAATTCGGGGACCTGTCCTCGTACCCAACACACCCTGTGACGCTTTGGGGGCAGGAAAGAATAACTGTTGATTCGATAGCATGTATGCTGTGGAAGATGCTCGCAAACAAAACCAACGCTCGTCCTGCTAAACAATACGCAAACATGTGCACAGAATCTGTCATATGTGGTTTTGCAGCAGGATCGCCTTAAATGTCAGGGACGTGATAGACAACAGAAAGCCCGCTGAACCCAACCTCTTGCCTCCAAATTCCCAAACATGGCTAGGTTCTGGGCCTGTAGAAGCTGATCGGTTGCACCTGGGAAGTAGTCCAAACCCGCAAAGGAATGCAACAATGGAGGGTAAGGAGGATTCATTCAGGGTCTCGACATAGGTACTAGAGCTCAGGGATTTCAGCGCTTCATGGTGTCATTCGCCTGCCAGGTTTAGGACCAAAAGCTTACGTAAATCCGAAACGCACGAACCCAGCGGTTGGTCATAGGGTAGTTTCCCGGTATAGGGGGAGCCTAATATAGACCCCACAGACTATAAGCCTGATGATAGGACCCCCAACATGGGTAGCCCTAATTAAAAAAAACCTAAACCACACACTAAAAAAAGCTTGGGGCTGGTGTTCTAAGGCATGCTCTTTAGGGTTTAGGGTATATATGGGTGGTTGTCAGAGTTATGGTCCCTTTTTGGGTACCCTAAATATTAGGTGCCGTATTATAGTAGGGATCCAAAAAAGGGACCATCTTTTTGACGACCACCCATATAGGGTTTCTGGATCCCAAGGGCAAGGTATTCGTACAAAGCTTTTTCTTCTTCTTCTTCGTCGTACCTCTGGTTAGCAAGAAAACAAGGAACGGATCCTTAGAGCAGTCATCCTTCGAGCAGTCCCTACATATTCCCCCCAAGATCATGTCAGTGTCCATTTTTCCATTTCCTTCTAAACCCTACATCCTATATAACCCCATTATAATTAGTAGCTTCCATGTGCTTTTCCATTCTCTCCCAGTTAGTCAAAGCATTCCCTGTGTGCTCTTAGAATCTATCCGTATAAAACCCCATACAGTGTAGCTTCCATGTCGTTTTCCATTTGATTCTCTAGTGCCCAAACCTTAAACTTGACCCCCATGTTACACCTTAAGAACCCTTAAAGTATTCCCGTATAGAATCCCCCAGAATCCCGGCCGCTCCCCATTTGGAGAAACTCTCAAATCATCAGAACTTATTGTCTGGAACCGCAGTAGGAATCTTAGTTCTGGCTTGGTTCTTTAGTCTAGATAACATGCAGAAATATCCAGAAATTATATATTGGGAACTTCTAGAATTCTTTCAAAAAATCATCTAAGAATCATCCAACAATGTCCAAGATGCTGTGCCACCATAGCGCACGACTGGCCCCCGAAGGGACCCAAACCTTTTGGGAAAACCAGCTTAGGATTCAGTGTTTAATGGGTAAAGCGATGGGGACAGGGGCTGACGGCTAAGGATTGGATTTGGGATTCAGGGCCACAGTGCTGAATGCGGCTTTAAGATGTTCAAGTACTTCTCAGAACGAAGGTTGCCCTCTGGACACTTTAGTTTGCAGGCCACAATATATCATCCTGATATCATCCCAAGAACCCTTATATGAACCCCATCCCCTTTCAAGCTCCTCTCTCATTCGAGGACCTGGCCGCAGTGTCTGAAGGGCAACCATGCTGACGAAATCCGACCTGTCAAAAGTAAACAGGAGAAGGCGCCGCATGGTTTCTGGCTCAGGATGTAGGGTTTAGGATTTAGGGTTAAGCGCTTAAGGTTTAGGATGTGGGGTTTAGGATTTAGGGTTCAGGGTTTAGGATGTAGGGGAATGGGGTTGTAGTCCCCCTTAAGGAGACAGAATATGTGGTATTTAGTATGTCGGGATCAAAGAATGATCTTGGGCAAATCCATATTCTATAAGTTGAGGGAACTATAGTCTGAACAAGGCGCCGGAGGCAGAAAGACAAAGAGGCTTTTTCTGTCCTGCTGCCCAAGCCCGCATCCTATAAACATTGCTGGCATCAGTACTGCTGTGTTGAATGTTCTTGCGGCCTTGCGGCCTTACAGACATAAAACATGACATTATACTAACCATAGCCTTAACAAATGTGAAACGCAGGCGGCACAAGCAGAACTAGAAGCCGCTAGCAGCGATCAAAGCTCCTCAGTTGCTTCCACGGGGCCAGGACAAGAATGACTGGATCGGGGGTTTCTCTATACTGCTAATCCCTCCTGAACCCTAAACCCTAAACCCTAGAATCCTTGCAACGCGCATTCAAATAATCTGGAAGGTGCGGGGTGGACCCCCATTTGAGAAAGAGCCACTGGGCACTTCACACGAAAGAGTTCAGTGGGGTCCCTAAACCCCCAAGGAAAGCGCAGAACCCGTACGCAGCGGGTGATTTGGGTTTCCATGTTCTTTTGCAGAAGGCTTCTTGCACTGCCCCACACCAGGCCCCAGCTGCCTTACAATAAACCTAAACCCTAAACATCCTCATACGTCTCTATATACCTCTACAGATCCTATCCCTACCAAGTCTGCCATGGCTCTGGCTCAGGAGTCTTCTTTTTCGCCTTGTCTGCCCGCCTTTGGAGCAACTTCAAAGTGGCAGGGTTGCCCGCAGCCATGTCCAGGGGCTTCTGCCTTTGTCTTGCCGTTGAATAGGCTTTGGGGTGTAGGGTGGAGGTTGTGGGATACTTTCTGTGTCTGACCTATGTCTTATGTATGCACACTTATATATGGCTCATTGCTACGATTACTGTTTTTAGTATGGGAGTGTATACCACCCCCTATGTAACCCTTAAAATTAGCCTCATATGGCCCTATATCTTGCCATAAAAACCCGCACCTCAGAAGCCTCGCTTTCATCAATTCGGCGATGTTCATTGCAACCATGTTTTCTGGGAGCCCCAACATCATGATGGCCATTGTTGTTATTGCTGACTTTGGTTATACTAAAACTAGTTACTCCTCCTACTACTGGTAACTACTACTACTACCACCACCAGTACTACCACCACTACCACTACCACGACCAGGACAACCAGGACAACCACGACCACGACCACGAAGACGACCACAGAGACAACCACGGCACGACCGCGACCAAGACCGCGACCACGTGAATAACTACTAGTGTTACCCTAAGGGTCCAAGGACCCAAATAAAAGGGTTTTAGGGCCCAAATACCATTAACATTATAGTATTTGGGCCCTAAAACCTTGTTATTTGGGTCCTTGGACCCTTAGGGTTACTCTTGATCTTACTATCATTCGCAGGATTGGGGCCATGGGGCGCCTGGAGCTGCTCAAGTTGACCCTCCTGCCGCAAAGCCAATACAGAATCAATCAGAACATCCCCAAAATTAGGGGTACCATTTTGGGGGTCCCCATAATAAGGATTATAGTATTTTGGGGTCTATATTGGGGTTCCCTTATGTTGGGAAACTACAACGTGATACTGTTCAAGGTCCTTCTCAGGGGAAAAGCAAGTTGAAATCACAATGTTGATCACCTCCCCCTGAAATCCAAAACCGCCATCTCCTTTACATTGAGTAGTTCGATTGTGGTAGAATACAACATACTGCGAACATCCAATAGGGGTTGGGGTGCTTTAGTTGCAGGAGGGAACTGTATACTAGCCCAGGCTGAGGCCTGCACCCGTTGCTGGCAGCTTCATCAAAGGGCACACCCGCCTTCAGAAGGACCCTCACCGTGTCCGCATGGCGCTGCTCCCTCCCCCAGCATGCTCGGTGTATTGGGGTGAAGCCATCACTATGTCGGTCACTGGGATCGAGGCCATGCGCGATCAGCAACTTTGCGATTTCCGCCCTGCCTTGGAACCCTGCGCCGTGCATTGGCGTATATCCTGAGCCGTTCAGGGGTCTCGGGAGCAGGTTTACACTTCTGACAGGATTGTTAGAAGAGGAGCCATGACACTGAAACGCAGAAACGCCAACTACTAAGCAGCCTAGCATCCATCCTTCTCCGGGATTGAGGTATCTGCACGCTTCTCTAGCAGAAACTTCACCGATGCCGGACTTCCCGTAAGGACTGCATGCATGAGGGGACTCTGCCCTCCTGGTCCAATTAAATTGATATCTTCACCGCCGTCCAGAGCTTCCTGTATCTTTGCTGGATCATCTGACCGTGCTGCGTCATGGATGTCCTGGGTTGCTGTTGAGGAAAGGAAGGTAATCAACATACCAAAATACGGGGATGTAGTAATTGCTGTGGTTATTCTCCATGTTAACTTAGACTTAAGTTCCCCAACTGCAACTTAGTCTCTGCCGCAGCCTTGAAGATAAACAAAGCCGCAAAAACGAGAGCTTTCATGGCTCGTCGATTCAATGCGAGCCCTACCGTTGCCTTCTGCGACTCGAGCCGGGAACCACGCAGAGGGACGAAACTCAGGATGCCTAGCTTAGAATGTAAACTACTATAATGGGTGATATAGAGATTATAGGGTATAATTTGGGGTTATATAAGGATACTGGATAATAAAATGGAAGCTACTATTTAGGGTTTAGGGTTTAATGTTTAGGGGTTGGAGGGTCAGGGGGACTTAGTAAGTAGCTTAATAAGGGGGATAACTGGGTTTACTATATGGGTTATAGGGGTTATTAACCTACTTACTAAGTCCCCATGACCCTCCAAGTACAATAACTGGAATACATTTTACAATAGTTATGCAGGACTCTACGGGAATAATCGTGACAATTACTCGCGCCCCGCGCTTCTACATCATTTGAGCTATAGTACAAACAACATCCCACTCAATAAGCCCTGTAGTAGAAACCCTATATAGTCTCCTAGATAATCCCTTCAAGGAGGTTAGACTACAGCAATTTGCGCCAATCCTCAGCTCTGTTGCTGGTGAGCCTCCAGGCTCTCTGTGTGGTTGAACAGCCTTGGGGGCATCAGCTTCCTCAAACGGTTTAGGGTTCAGTAGGAACACTCAGGGAAGTTTAATCACCCTACCCCATCAAGTTTGGGCCCAAATATCGTCATGTGATGGTTATAGGGTCCTCATCTGGTGGGGGGGTTGAGCTAACGAAGCCCTAAACTCTAAACCGAGCCGCAAACAATGGAAGCCTCACAACAAGCTATTCAACGCTGATTCACAGATGACGCGAATGAGGCTTCACCTGACCTTGAGCTTTGTTTGCAATATCGTTGAGAACACCTCTTTTCTCAAGGACACCCCCAGGCGGATAGTTACCAGGTTGGTACCCCCAAGTAAGGCTTATATGAGGCTCGTATGAAGGTAGGGGAGTCTAACTATATGAGGTCGGAATAGGTCAATAGGTCGCCTTTAAGGGTACCCACATGACAATGCATTAGAGGTTCGTGGGACTTCGTAACTACTCGTATTTACAAGCCCCCTGCACTTGTATACGCTATCCCATTTATAAATAGGGCCAACAACCCACTTATAGGTAATTACTAAGTCCCATGGACGTGTAAGTTCACTTGATATTCTGAACCCTACGCCCTAAACCCTCAACTCCAAACCCTGAACCCTGAATCATCAGCCATGGGACATCATGGCCGGCAGCAAGCTCACCAGGCAGCTCGGAGCACCCCGCATCGCCTGACTCTGAGGTTTAGGGTTTAAGGTTTGGGGTGTAAGGTTTGGGGTTTAGCATGGTTTAGGGTTTCCGGTTTAAGGTTTAGGGTTTTGGACCATGGGACCCCTAGTATGGGCCCTGACCTGTCCTTAGTTAAGAATCAGGAAGCAGGTAGAGGCACAAATAATGGTCTCATGGTTAGGACCTCAGACTGATGAGGCATGCAAGCCTGCCTCTTCTTAGCAGATTCGGGAGTTATGTATATATAGTCCCCCCTAAGTAGATAGAATATGGGGTATATGGGGATCTTATTCTAGTATACCCAAAGCCATATTCTATCTACTTAAGGGGGATTATATGTTTAAATGGACAAGTCTTCGTTTAGAAAAAAACCTAAACCCTAAACCCTAAACCTAAGGCCTCTGGCAGCGCCACGGTCTCTGTTCTGAGGCAGCAAGGATGCAGCGGCCTGCTTGCAACGTCGACAATGTTGGGGGGTTTAGGGTTTGTAAGTCGTGTCCAGAATGAAGGGGCTTTGGTAATCAATCCCCCAAGCTAGGAAGCTAGTATAGTACCATAGACATGTGATGGGTCTAAGGTCATAATTTGGCAGGGTTGGGCGAACACATCCCTCTCATTCCTGCATGAACCTTCATAGAAAATACAGACCCAGGGTTGCTGATTCGGGTTTAGGGCCGGTAAACAAAATGCTCATAAACCCTAAACCCTAAACCCTAAATCCCTAAACCCTGTCACCTACCTCATGGGCCCTGTCAAATACCTCTGAAGTCTCCAAGAGCATCCCTCTTTCTGACGAACTCCCATTCTGGCCAGAGTTGACATGCCCTTGCAGCAGTAGGGGTTACAGAATGAGGGGATACACAACCACCATGATGGAAAATCAACTTCTCAAATGGGAAAGTTAATGGAACATGAAAGGGAAACTGGGAATAGATAGCGGTTTGTAGGAGTGGGATGTTGTAAAATTAAAGGGGGGCCCCTTTTAGGGACCCTTTGTAATATGTAGGGTCTGACTAGATTGGGCCCCCTGTTGTTGAAACCCCTTATACTTACACATTCCTCGTTCACCTTGAACGATAACAACTTAAAAAGACCCTACGCAGACCCAGTCTAGACGGACTTATTAAAAGCCTAAATAATTACCACTACTATCCCCACATAGTCCCCATATAATCGCAACATCATATACCCCAAAACCCTTTTCAAATTGAATAGGCCCCTGTATTACTCAAAAGCTTGGTCCCCTGCGTCAAATTCACCGCAACTGCTCCGGCAACCTTAGAGGAGCAAGCAAAGCGCCGCAAGAGCTTGGGGTTGAACTAGGGTTTAGGGTTTAGGGTTTAGGGTTTAGGGTTAGGGTTTAGGGCTCATGGCCCAATACTCTAAGGGATTTGGAACCCCAGTAGAAATTATATTTTCAGCTAAGTATTAGGATTGTTGGTAACAGAAATCAATATCTTATTTCAGGAACCTTGTAGAATAGTCCGTGATGAGGGAATGTGGGGTTTGGGAAAATCCTTTAAGGAGGCCCCCATCAACTCCATGACACGAGCATCATCCCACAAGAGGTCTTGGGAGAAGTCCAAGTACCCAATAATTCCACCCTGGCATTAATCCCCCCATCCCCGGACTTGCAAATATGCCCAGTATACTATACTACAATGGGAGTGTTGAATATTAGGGGGAGGGGGAGGGGTGTAATATTAGGGGGAGAGAAATAATGAAAAAGTTCCAAAAACCTGAATACACATACTATTACCGGACTTCCAAATACCCAATTATGCGGTAGATGGACGCTTAGCCCTAAACCTTTCATATCCCTATATTTTCCTATATATGTCTCTGTATGTGCAATAGTCTACACTCCTACGGTAGTATCCCCACTTAAGAAGCCCCTATAGTAGTCCCCCAGTCCCTATATTACCACCCTTTTAGGACTTTAGACTATAGCTCATATACGTCTTTAAACGGATCCTTATTGAATGCTTGAGCCCCTGGGGGTTGCTGTGCGCACGGCGTCAGGCACAGTAACCTAGCGGGCAGCTTGGCGTGTCGGAAGAGCACAGCGGCACTTTAGAAGTTTGCAAGAAGAAGCCTGAGATCTGATCATAGCACAAACTGATAGGTTTCAACCCTAGACCCTAATGCCCAAGCCTTTAACCCTCCATCCCTAGACCCGATTCTCCAAACCGTGAAAACAAATACCGCCTCGACCGGCGCGTGGGACTTCAGCGAGACATAAGCAACACCATCCCCAGCGGCGTTCCGGATTTCCGGCAGGATGGCTACCTGTATCAGGGGTCCCAAACTTGCTAGTGGCTGATAGGGAGTGGAGCGTTTTGTGGCAAAAGGGGCTTCCTAGATTGGGGGGAGGTGCTTTGGGAGATAGAGACCATGAGAGAGTCAAAGCAGCAACTCGGAGTATTATGTGGGAGTGAGGGGTTGACTGTCAACTGGCACAAGGCAACCATCTGCACTTGAAAATCCTGCGCCGACGGCAGCAGCAGCTGCAGGGGGAGCAGTGGTACACAAAGGTTATATACTTCTCTCTCTCTCTCTCTATACACGTATAGTGTGAGTACACACATATCTGTTATGAGATGATGGCTCTGCCCCACAAATTCTACACAAGTCCCTGCCATCCTTACAGCAAGAAAATTACGTCAGCCCTGCATTTTAGACTCTAAGCCCGTGTATAACCCCGTCCCCAAAATGGCTGCCCCGAAGAAACCTACAATTCTGTGCGCCCTGTATCTCAACTCAAAACCGAGCCAAGATATTCAAGCACCAGAATGGGGCACGTTGACTCATAAAGGGTAGTGGTTGCGCTTGTAACGGAGAAGAGGATGCAGCACCTACTTCATCCCTAAACACTACAACCCTCCCCCTGATAGCCCTAAACCCCAGACTACTAAATTCGAGTCCCCAAAACCCTACGAAACCTGCATGCACACCTACCCATGCCTCCTCAGTACGTAGCCCCATGCATTAAAACCTTACATATTCTTCAGGATTAGTAGGGCTCCTTAAAGCAAGCCTTGTTAGCTGCGGGGGAAGCGCATTGGAGCGGGTCACGGATGCTCTGAGATATATAACCCCTACAAATCCTAAGCCTGAAATCCCTTAACCCGTCAAATTTTCATGTCCCATATCCCTGAACATGTCCTGTAAGCCCCAAAGCCTATCCAAAAACCTCCAACCCCAAATCTCCTTAATACCCTGAACGCCTATGGATCCCTAAATTTCCCTTAAGAACCCCTTTATAAACCCAAAGAGCCCTCCCCCACCTTACTTCCGAAGGCCGCCACGGGATGCATCGGGCCAGGTCCCCCTGGCTGGAGTAGCCGGACATCCTGACCTGCGGGCTTCAGGGCTTTGGGATTGTAGGCTTTGGGTTTCTGGGGCTTTAAAGGCTAAACCCTAAATTTAAGGTTCGAGGCTGCAGATTTTTTGGGCTTTAGGAGTGTTAGGTTTTTAGGGCTTAGGGCAATCCTGACCTTCGGGCTAGGTGGGGGAGGGTTTTGGGGGGGTTGTAGTCATAGGTGCTCTTTTGGAATGTATAGTGCAATAGACATGTGAATCGTATTTTGTAGGGTTAAGGGACTTTCTGTTAAGGGTGTGGGCTTCCGTGCTCTCAGTTTTGGATCTTAAGGTTTAGGATTTGAGTCTCAGGGTTCATAGGGGGTCAGGGCTTAGGGCGCTGCAGGGGGAGAGAGGTATGCGGAAAAAAACAAGGAAACTACC